TCATTAAGTTGATGCTTGCCCCAAGATCACATAAAGCTTTGGCAAAGTTTGCACTACCAATAGTGCAGGGGATAGTGAAAGCACCGGGATCCTCTAATTTCAGAGCCATTGAATGTACTATAGCACTAACTTGGTGGGTCATCTTGATAGTTTCACAGTCCATTGATCTTTTCTTTGTAATCAAATCTTTCATGAATTTAGCATAACCAGGCATTTTCTCCAAAGCCTCCACCAAAGGCACGTTGATGGATAAGCTCTTCATCATGTCAATGAACTTTTTGAATTGATTCTCACTTTTTTGCTTGGCTAGCCTCTGAGGATAAGGGGGAGGTGGCCTAGGCAAAGGTGCCTTGGCTTTTGGCACAACCGGCTCCGGCATGTCAATTACGTGCTCCCTAGACGGGTTCACGTCACTTTGTGTTTCCACCTCGGCATCTTGAATATTGATCCTCACTTCTTCATTCACATTTTCATCAACTACATTCTCAACCACCAAAGGAACTTCATCTTCTTGCAACTCAACTTCTTCACCCAAAACTTGCGTTTGTTTGGAGGCATTCACATCATTGCCTCGTCCACTCCTAGTTGCCACAACCTTAACATGATTGTTTCCTCCCTTTGGGTTCACTACCGTATCACTTGGTAGAGCACCCTTAGGGCGTGTATTCAAGGACTGAGAGATTTGACCTAGTTGCACCTCCAAATTCCTAATTGAAGTATTGTGAGAAGCCAATTGCGCATCGGAATCCGCATTCTTTGTCATCATTTGTTCGAACATCATTTCAATTCTACCCATGTCATTGTTGGATGAATTGGGACCCTGGGAAGGAAAAGGAGGTGGATTGTTCGGTTGTTGGTACATTGGGGGGCTTTGAAAGCCTTGCCCCTCATTTCCTTGGTTATTGTTCCACCCGCCTTGGTTGTTGTTGTTTCCACCCCAATTGTTGTTGTTGCCCCAGTTTCCTTGATTGTTGCGGTTGTTATTTTGATTTCCCCAATTGTTGTTCCCTTGATGTTGATTGTTCCAATTGTTGTTGCCTTGTTGTTGTTTACCCCAATTGCCCTGAGAACGCCATTGTTGTTGTTGGTTGGAGGAATTGCCTCTTCGGCCTTGGTAATTATTCACATATTGCACCTCCTCATTTTGCTCATCATAGCCATCATCTTGAAATCCATTACCATCATTGTCAAATTGATCCGAATTCCCTTGGTTCTGTTGAGCTCTTCGCCTTCTTTGGTTCACTAGCATGTTAACACCCTCCATATCATTCATTTGGCGAGGATTTTGGACTTGTTGCAACTGTGCCTTTGCTAATTGGTTCATTGTTGTTATAAGTTCTGCTATAGCCTGTCCATGGTCATGTAGTTCTTTATGCAAATGAGTAACCGTGGGGTCACCCTGAGGCATAGTGGCTCTACTTTTCCAAGCGGAGGATGTGTCAGCCATTTCATCATCTCATAGGCTTCATCATAAGGCAGCTTCATGAAATTACCCCCAGCCAATTGGTTCACTATGCATTGATTTGTTGTATTGATGCCCCGATAGAAGGTTTGTTGTATCATAGCCTCTGTCATATCATTGTTGGGGCATTCTTTCACCATAGTTCTGTATCGCTCCCAAATCTCGTGCAATGGTTCAGTAGGCTCCTACTTGAAGGCTAAGATCTCATCCTTTAGTGCTGCCATGTGTCCCGGTGAGAAGAATTTGGCAATGAACTTATCCGCCAACTCATCCCAAGTTGTGATGGAATGGTTGGGAAGTCGCTCAAGCCAGTCCAATGTTTTCCCCCTAAGTGTGAAAGGGAAAAGCCTCAATCTAAGTGCATCCTTGGACACGTTGGTTTGCTTGCTCCCCCAACAGGTATCCACGAATCCCTTGAGATGTTTTACGCATTCTGAGTGGGAGCACCGGTGAAATACCCACGCTGCTCCAATAATGTCAGCATCACGTTAGTTGTTTGAAAATTGCCCCCCCCCCCCGAATCCGGGGCAGAACAATAGCACTTGCATAGCCTTGGTTGGGAAGAACTCTGGGAGCCACTCTTAGAGGTGGCGGAGGAGGGTCTGGAATACTTTCATTTGCATTGGCCTGGCGGCCTCTCCGTTGTCCTTGAGGTACAAGAGGCACCTTGTCTTCTCCAATGTCATCTACCTCCTCCTCAGCATTCACATTTCCAAGAGGGTCATTAGCATTTAAAGCCATTTTGGTACCTGAAGTATTCACACACACAAATTAGTAACAAGAAGGAAAGAAGAACAAAACACAAATCTAACTAAATAGATAACCAAAGCCGTTAGCTCCCCGGCAACGGCGCAAAAAAGTGATCGCTGCCAACTCCGTACTACTAAAAGGTAGCAAGAGAGGGTCGCAATAGCTTTTACCCTATTTTGGGTCGGGATCGATATCCACAGAGAGCTAGAATTGGAATCGAGTATCTATCTAGTGTAGGATTGCGTTTGTGTACTTAATTACACTTCTCAACATTTTTGGGGTTTTTTTTATAGTTCTACTTTTATCAAACTACAAATTGCAAATTGAGCTAAGAGCTATAATGCTACGAGTTGTTCAAATAAGTTTAAAAGGTACTAGGGTAGTGACTACCGCCTAGGTGGTCAATTGACGGGTACTTGAATCTAAGGCACGTTTGACACATTTGGGGAGTATGTTATAACCGTTGCACGAATTTACCCACTCTACACCTCTCGGTGGTTCAAGTGGTTTTGCCTAAATTGGCTTTCTCAAGACCAATTGGGTATGCAATTTTGCTCAAGCAACTAGGGTTCAATTCGGGTATTACTCTCTCGAGGTTTAACCCTTTAATTGGGGCTATCAATCTCTTGAGCACGCCCCAATTCATTGTTGGACCAATTTCGGAGACTTAGGCTCCCTTTCTCAAGAGGAGCTCAAGTCAACTCAACACAAACTAGTGTTTGCAACCATTAATTCAGAAATTAACCATGAAATTGGCTCAAATAACAAACACCCATACTCAATTTAACCCTAAATTACAAGAACCATCAATTACCCACACTAGGGTTGAGCCACAACCCTAGCTTATGGTCTAGCTACTCATAATTAAAGAAGAAAAGCAAGAAATAGAAGAAGATAAACACATATTAACTAATTGCTAAGCCAAATACAAAGATTCAATAATGAAAAGTAAGTAAAAATGCCCAAAATGGCTAAGAAAAGTCGACCCATGAGCGTAGCTGATCTCTTACAATATCTGATACCCTAAAAAATGGAAAAAGAATCTATTTATACTAGGCTAAAAAATCTGGACAAAATTGCCCCTGCGGGGTTAGTGCGGACCGCACAAAATGGACTGCGGTCCGCACTAGGCTCTTGACTTCAAAAATCTCACTCTCTGAACTTGGGCTCCGCGGACTGTAGAGAATGGACTGCGGCCGCGGAGACTCCTAGTGCGGTCCGCGTAAAATGGACTGCGGACCGTGGAGGCTTGAGACTCTCAAAATGCAACCTCTCTGAATCTTGGCTTTGCGGACCGCAGTAAATCGACTGTGGCCGCGTCGCCCTCAGTGTGGACCGCACAAAACCTAGTGCGGCCGCACTGCCTCTTAGCTTAGAATTGAGCCTCTCTGAATCTCCTAGTGCGGACCGCACAAAATGGTGTGCGGCCGCACTAGGCCTGTTTAGCCTAAGCTTGTCTTGTCTTTGGCACTTGTGCAAGTTTCACTCCGTTTGAGCTAATCTTTGACATCTCGTCACTTTGATGATCAAACCTGCAATCAAGCACAATTTGTGAGCCTTTTAGGACTATTTTGTATGAATTTCTAATCAAAGCATAAGCAAGAAGGAGTATAAAATGCGTCAAAATCCCTAGTTATCACCACCCAAGCAGCATTCTTGGGTATTGGACTGCTCTCCACTGTCCTATTTCTTATGTAGAAGGTGTGAACCCATCGGATCCATAAGTTGTCCTTCTTCATTGTAATTGCCCACAGGTGTTTTGCAATTGCTGCTTTGTTCCAGTAGTACATGTTAATTACATTTAATCCACCTGCAGCTTGTGGCCAGCATACTCTGTCCCAAGCAACTAGTGCTTTCTTGGTGATAATTGGTGATAATCTACACATGGCTTCAATCATCTTCAATATCTTCTTAGGCAGCAGAAAGATTTGAGCCCAGTATGATTGTACCCCAAACAAGACTGATTTAATTAACTGGAGCCTACCAGCATATGAAAGCAATTTTGCTATCCAACAGTTGATCTTCTGTGTAATCTTCTCTACTAATGGCTAACATTGAATAATAGACAGCTTCTTGGATGCTAGCGGTACACCTAGGTACCTAAATGGCATAGTACCTTCAGTATGCCCCAATTCTTGCATAATGTATTGTTTTGTGCTGTCTGAGATACCTGCTAGGTAGATGGAACTTTTTTTTGCATTTTCCTAGAGGCCAGATGAGCTTGAGAACTTGAGAAATGTCTGTTGCAGTAGTCTGATAGATGTAATGTCAGCTTTACAGAACATCAGTAGGTCATCAGCAAAACAAATGTGCATTGCTCCCAGTTTCTTACATCTGGGATGGAATTTGAAGTTTCTATTCTTTGCCAGTTGTGCAAGTTCCCTATGCAGATACTCCATGGCTATGACAAACAAATAAGGGGACATAGGGTCACCTTGTCGAATGCCTCTTCTTCCTTGAAATGGTTTTGTCAGTCCTCCATTCATGTTGAGGGAGTAGGTCACTGTGGTGATGCATTCCATTATCCAATTGACAAATTTATAAGGAAAAACAAGCTTTAGTAGCATTTTTTCAAGGAAACTCCAATCTAAAGTATCATATGCTTTCCTGAGGTCAACTTTTATAACACACCTTGGGGAGATCCCTTTCCTGTTATATCCTTTGAATAACTCATGAGTAAATGAAATGTTGTCTACAATGCTTCTTCCTTCAATAAAGGCTGATTGTGACTCCACAATGAGGTCTCCTATAGTCCATTGTTTTGTGAAGAACTCAATTGGAATCCCATCTACCCCTGGGGCTTTGTCATGAGGCATATCTTTATAGCAGCTAGGATTTCCTCATTTGTTACATTTTTAGCTAGTGCCTCCTTCTGTTGTTGGTCCAGGCATCTCCCTTGTTTAACCACGGCAGCATCTGGACATCTATGAGTTTCTCCACCTTCTCCTATAAGATTTGTGAAGAAAGAGATAAACTCCTCTTCTATTTGGACTGGATCGGTTAGCTTAATACCACTTGCATTGTAGATGGATGCAATGTGATTTTTGCTTGTCCTCATTTTCCATTGAGCATGGAAGTATTTGGTATTTGAGTCTCCACATTCAATCCAAGTGGCCCTTGACTTATGCTGTAATACCGGTTCTTCTAGATGACTCCATATTTCCAGTTCTGCCAAGATTTCTTTTTCCTGATTGAACAAGCTCTGATCTAGAAGAGAATTCTTGAGTTCCCCCTGTACTACCTCTAGTTTCTGTCTAGCCTGATCAAGTATCTGCTGATAGGAGGCCATATATTTGTTCAGGTCCTTAAGTCCATTTTTGAGTGCCTTCAATTTCTTCCAAATTTTGTTTATGTGTTCTTCTTGAGTTCTTTGCTGCCATACTTCTTGCACTATATTTCTGAACTCTGGATGTTCCATGACATTTTTGTAAAGCTTGAAAGGTTTAGGGTGCAGTCCTTTCTTATGTTGACTGATGTGTATAAGGATTGGGGAGTGATCAGACACTCCTGGATCCATGAATTCAGCTTCTATATGGCTATATTGTTGCAGCCACACATAGTTGCCCATTGCCCAATCTATCTTGCTATACACCCTTTTATCTTCCTGCTGTTGGTTGCACCATGTAAAGAACCAGCCAACACTCTTTAGTGGAGTCAATTGCAGCACATCAACTAAATTTTGGAAGCCTTGTGTCTCTGCTTGAGTGACTGGTGCTCCTATTCTGTCTTCTGAAGTTAGCACATTGTTGAAATCCCCACTTAATAACCAAGCATCATGTACATTAGTTCATGCTTGTGCAAGTTGATTCCATAGCTGATGCCTGAGAGTTACATCATTTCTGGCATACACCACTGTTAGCAGAGATTTGAAACTATCCTTCTGCACCTCACAATGTATATATTGATCTGTAGTCTCAATGATCTGGATGTTTACATTGTTTCTCCACATTAGCCAGATTCTACCATTTGGGTGGTCTTTATAATTACAGCAAACATTCCAGTCCCTAGCCACCTTCTGTATAATTCTCCCAGATTTTCTCTCCTTTGCTCTTGTTTCTACACATCCAATTACATCTATTTTGTACTTATTCAGAAAGGTTCTTAGATCTTTCTGTTTAAAGGGCTTGTTAAGCCCTCTTATATTCCAAGTACAAATGTTCATTGGTGGGAAGAGCCGGTTGGCCCAGCATCCCTTGGCTCCTGATCTGAGAGTTGATTTTGTAAGATTGCAAACCTATTGCTATAGGTAGTTGCAGCAGCTGTATTGCCTCTAACAATGGTAGTCTGTTTTCCTTGCCCTGTTCCTATCTTGCTGAGTGCCATGTTTGGATCTTCTGTAGGAGCTTGATTGGTAGTGGGTTGTACTCCTTCTGTTGTGGGCATTCTCACCTGCTCTTCTTTCTGAGTTCCAGATGATTCTACCTCATTTGAAGTTGAAGAAACATGTATCTTCTGCACCCATTGTTGAGTGATCTGCTTCTTTTTCTTGTTCCTTCTTCTTCTTCGTTGCTCCTTAAATTCCTCTTCATTTGCTTGCTTTCTCTTTGCCCAGCACTCTATTGTATCATGACCAAATCTTATACAATCACAACAAAATTAGGGTCTCCAATCATAAGCAATCTGTTGCTTTATCACTCGTTTTGGTGTTTGCATCTCAAAACTCTCAGGGAGTGGGTGTGATACATCAGTTTCCACCAGTACTCTTGCATAAGAGGCCTTCTCCATTTCAGCTTTTACCCTATCAGTATGTAGAGGTTTTCCTACTACACTAGCAAGCTTACTCAATGCTTCAGTAGACCAGTATCCTAACGGAAGCCATAGAAATTTCACCCACAAAGGAATAATGCTTAAGCACTCTGGGTTAAAACAGAAATCGATCTTCCAATGTTGTAGGATAATTGGTTTGTTATGGTAGGTGTATGGCCCAGCATGAAGAACTAGGTCTCTATCCTTTATACTTTGAAACTGGAAAATGTAGTATCCTTCATCATGGTACAGAATTTTTGGCTTTGCTACAAAATTCCATACATTGGTGACATAATTTTCCATAGACTTCTCATACGGATTATCCCCAAGGACATACCCAATTAGGGCATTCTTTAGTGATTCCTCCTGAGCCCTAGTGTCCTCCTCCTCTATTTGTACCACAAACGTACCATCTATCATAGAAGGGGGAATATAGGTTAAAGGCTTTCTTGTGAACTTCTATTTTCCTTCACAATCTTTTCCTTTGGTTGTTCCTATCTGTCATCAGCTGCCTTCTCCTTAACATTTGGTGCTTGCTGAGTTGAGGTTGCTGCTGCCGAGAACTGCAATCCTCCACTCTCAGATTTGCTTGTTGTGCATGCATTTCAATCCCTTTGCTAGTTGTCTCTTCGTTCTCCTTTTCCTCCAGGATAGGCTGAAATTTCTGTGGAAAAAAGCTACCAAATGTCAATGGTTACAGTCCTGTAGCTGGTGTTGTGAGCATGTGATTTTTGCCCTAAGCAAATTAATTCCAAAAGTTTCAAATAATTGATTTTCTTTATTATTTTTACAGATTTTGTGAATTTTCGTGTTAATTGGTTGCATTTTTATTCATATGAAAATACAAAAAATGTGCATTTGCATTTAGGGATTTAATTTCACAATTTTGGTATTAATTAGTTTTAGAACAAAATTTAAAGAAAATTGCAAAAAAAAAAAAAATAGTTTCTTTGCACTTTCAATTGTTAATTGTTGTATTTTATCTTTAAATAGAGTTTTAAATAATTTTAGGAGTTTAAATAGTTTAATTAGGTCTTTTTTTTGCTTTAGCATTTTATAAAATCAGAAAAAATAAATAAATACAGAAATACAGAAATACAAAAATACAAAAATAAAATACAAAAGAAAGTAAATAAAATACAAGAAAAGCAAAGAAATGGTTGCCAAGAATTGGGCCAAATGGCTGAGCCCAAATAAAATAAACACCAACCCGTCCAAACCCAACCCATAGCACCCGGTCCAGTTTGGTTGTAACGAAACGACGTCGTTTCATTGATCGAACGGTCCTGAAGCTTGGGCCATTTAGTATATATGTGTCCAAACACACCCCCCCTACCCCCCAAACCACCCGTACTCTCATACCCCGCTAACTTCCGGCGTAACGCCGCTCGTCACCACCGTCCCCACCCGTCCTGCCGCCGGCCGGAAATAGCCTCCGCCACCGGCGGCGATCACCCAATGACACCAATAAAATTCACCCTGGCTTTCCCCTCATCAATCCTCACGAATCCAACTTGGTTCCTCGCCTCAATCCCCCTCTATCCTTCGAATAAAAGAAAGCCCTAGCGCCGCCTCCGCGTGGTAACGGCGGCGCCGCCCTCACGAACCTACCAAATTAACACCAATATACCCACCACCCTCCTTTTTCCTAAATCCGCAGCTAGAATTCTTCAAATCCAAAAGAAACCCTACAAATTTTAGATCTAGGGTTTTCAAGTTTCACACATTTTGGGAGTTTCGGTACTCGAGTGATTTCATTAATGTTATATGTCTTATTTTTAAACAAAATAAGCATGTATCATTAACAAAAATTCAATTTTCGAGAAATTAATCGGCTAGAAAACCAAAATCAGTGAGTTGTCCCTTCTTATCGATTATTTTGTTGGTTGATTCTGGTTTGCGTTGTTTAGTTTAATTTCTGTTTTGAGGATTTCGTTATGATTTTTCCGTTGGTTAACTCAGTTTAAGTTCATGTATTCCCCAGTTCTTTAGAAATCTTTTTGTTTAGTTCTTTAATTTGGATTAGTTTAGTTAAATTTGATTTTTTCTGTTCATCTCTTCAATTTTATTAGATTAATTTCGATTCGGCTTGATTCATAGTTTGTATGTCAGACTTCGATGCACAATTGATTGGTGTTAACATGAATTTTACTTTTGTCTTTGTTTTATTGTTTGGTTAATTGTTAATTCATTTGTTTTGACCCTAGGATATTAGTGTCTATTAGAGTAAATTCCAATGTCGATTAATTAGAATTGTTTCAATTTAAACTCTGTTTGGTTATAACTGCTAGTATCTAGTTTAATAATATAACTATGGCTGTTGGGTAGTCAATAAGGCTGACTAGAAGTTAGTAGGCTAGGGTAGAGGACAGGGGTGGTATAGGCATTTCTCAGTAAAAGAATAGTGCAATAACTGATTTGGAAACCCCTAGAACATTCTAGATGGGGTGCTAATTAGAATTTAGTAACCTTAGTGCAGTAACTTGAGTAACAAGTTTAAAAATAAGGGACTAAAAGCTAAAATGAGAAGGGACTAAAAAGAAAACTAAAAAATCTGAAGGTAAGCCCTAGGCTTTGCCTATAAAAGGCAACACAATGCTTGTTTAGCAAGTTTTTGGAGGTCCCTGAAAATTTTTCCAAAACTTTCCACCTTTAATTTTCCCCAGACCCACTTCTGGAAGTTCTGAATTAGATTAATTTTTGAGTCCCAGTTTCATCTCGCATAAGCTTGGGGGTCGAACAGAGTGTGTCTGGTTTGTTACTACTTGCTAAAGCTTAGAAATCATCTTCTGGGCTAAAATTGCAAGTCCATTGGTGGTGTTATTTCTATCTGCTAATTCCATACTGGGTTATATGCTGTTGTTTTTGAATCCAAAATCTGCTTTAAGCTACTGAATCTACTGCTGGTTGTTGCCTAATACTGCGTGACTTACTCCTTTTCCTCTGCTCATTCAAATCCAGGTACATGTCTTAATTCACTTGATGTAACCTTTGGAAGGGAAGTGGAATAAGATGGAGCTTACCTTCCTGATACATTGTTCAGTTGATTGTTGTATGTCTATGGCTGGAAGGGTATTAGCGATATATGTTTCGTCTAATGTTGGTTAATTTCTTTGGACTTGTATTCATATGAACACTGTTGTTAATAAAAGGACTGCCTGGGACTTTTCTTTGTAATTAAATTGAATAGCCTAGGACTGCTTGTTAGACTGTTAAGATGTCGTGAATTAATTCTATGTGTAGGGGTGTTAGATTTGAACTTATAGTCTGTTATTAGCCTTAATAGTTCCTGTGTAGTTAATCTTTTAGCACTCAAACTGTTAAATATAATCAGCGTAATGTTAGCTACAACATGCTAAGTTGAATCAGTTATCATATTGGAGTCAATTCCAAAATGGCATGTTTCACAATATATGCATTCGAGATACACCCTACAAAAACCGCTGCTCATTCTGTAAGCCATCAAATACAGGTGTAAATGTTTATGGTGTCGATACATTGGTCACGAATTTACTCTAGAAAAAACATGAATGTTGAGTAAACGAACTGAAGTCTAATGAACGATCAGAGATGATTGCAGACTATCGGCGTTAGTCTGGACCCTGGCTACCCTAATTAATGCTAAATTAGACTAAAACTCTGTCCCTGGGCCCGCATAACATTACGTTCCTAATGGGCTATGAAATTTCCACGGCTGGATTATGCTGAGGTCCAGTTACTGGATAATTTCACATTGCAGTCCTGGACCAAATTCCTCAATCACCGTACAGTCCTGGCCCTAATTCACATTAGGAATAGTGGTAATTAATTTACAATATAATTTAGGTTTTCGCGTTAGGTAGCGGGTTCAAACTTAAGAGGGTCTACTTTGTTTGAATCCGGACTTGGACTCGAGGCCCGAATTTATAAATGCAAATTAAATTAGACCCTTTTTTAGAGACAAAAGAAGCTAGATAGATCCTAGTCGCTCTAGGTTGGCCTTAAAAAAAATTAAACACGAGACGAGCCTAGCCGCACAAAACATATTAAATTGCGGGGCCCTCATTACAATGCTTTATTAAAATATTTTTAGAGATTCGGGAGATGCTATTTTAGCGAATTTTCATGGCTTCCCGCAAAGTTAATAAGACGCTAGCCGCTTTAGGCAGCTTTTAAAAATAATTTACCTTCCTAAACTCGGGTGTGCACTTCATGTGACCCAAATCCAAATCCTAAAACGTTGAATAAGAGGTGTTGAGGATCCGGGTGCATTTCAGTGACGTGATCCAAAACACGCTCTTAAACGGCGTTCACTTTCGTAAAAAGTAAATAAAAGCGGTAAATAATTTATAAAATTGCACTATAGGTTTGAAACTTGTAATAAAAACCAGATTTTTAAGCCATTTATGATAATTTAAGCGACCGTGCTAGAACCACGGGATCCGGGGGCCTAACACCTTCCCTCGGGTCAACAGAATTCCTTACACACAGAATTTCTGGTTCGCAGACTCCAAATTGGGAAGTCGAAATTTTTCCTCGATTGGGATTTAAATTAAACTGGTGACTCAGGACACCAAAAGCCCATCCTTTCCGAGTGGCGACTCTGAAAAATAAACTAAAATAATCCCATTTCGAAATAATGTCACTTTAAATGGAAAAACTCCCTTATACATTTATTCTTTGGGGTAGGTGTGTAAAAAGGAGGTGGTGACAGCTCTGGCGACTCTGCTGGGGATCGACCCAGAAATCTCTGGCTTCAGGGTTCAAGAATTCGAGCTTAGTATAATTGTTATATTTGGCTTTATTGGATTTTTCTACATGTTCCATGCTATATGTGCTAAATGTTTTACCGCTTGGGATTTTTGTTGAATTGTATATATAAACTGTCGCGAAATCCCTTCCTCTCTCCTGAGTCTTCTACATCATGGAGAAGGGTGCACTTCGTGTAGCTTCTCTTCTGTTTAAAGTCTTTCCCAATTTAAAGAAACAAGTTTGGATAAGTTGCAAAGCCGGCGGAGCTTCTGTATCCCCGGTACGCTGCCTCCCCCTCGCTCGAGTTGTCGCTCGGGTAAGCCAGGTCTCAGACCAATAAACCTAGGGTTAAACCTAGAAAACAAAAACTTCATGCCGGATCCTAGTAGGACGCTTGTTTCATCATGTGCATTTGACTTAGGGGACTCAACACAGGGGTTGGGTCCGTCTAGGACAGGTGACCTGAAATGAATTGACCATCCTGATGCATCTTACGTGCTACTTGCGCATTTATTTTGCTCGGCTTTGCATGTTGACCGGCTTGTCTAAATGAGTGAATTATGAAAAGAAAGCAGTGTTAGGACTAAGTGAGGTGACCATTTGTTGTGAGAAAACCAAATGCCTAAATAGTACGAAAATGTTGCCGGATTTTTGAAAAATGAAAAAAAAAAAATTTGAAAAAAAAATAA